TTTGTATTTATCTGTTATCTCTAGCGTGACCTCCTGTGTTCTAATCTCACTACCTTCATTGTCATTAAAAATCTTGACGGCTGATTTTTCCTTACTGAATCTAAAATCTAACCTATCTCTCTCATTACCGCAGATGTCCATCAATCTCTGCAAATCTTCCTTGCTGTCGGCCATTAGCACTATATCATCTGCGTACATTAATGCTGGTAGTGCCTGATGAATGATTTTTCTTTGTTTGACTAAAGAGAGGTTGAAGCCAAGTCCACTTCCCTCTAATTTGGCCTCTAATCTTTGTAGGTACATCATGAATATCAAGGGTGACAGTGGACACCCCTGCCTAAGTCCCCGTTTCACCTCTGTGGGCTTGGATACCTGTTTTTCCCACTTTATAATTACCTTGTTACCTTTATAGATATCCTTTAAAAAATTAGTGACTACATCTTCCACGTCTAGTATGTCCAGTACTCCCCACAATTCCTCTTGAACCACGCTATCGTACGCTCCCTTGATATCCAAAAATGCTAGCCACAGGGGCCTGTGTTCCTTTTCTGCTATTTCGATGCACTGGGTCAGTGAGAACAGATTGTCTTCCTACCTCCTGTGTTTCCGAAACCCATTTTGCAGTTCCCCCAGCACCCCCTCATCCTCTATCTATGGCTGCAGTCTTTCCCTTATAATCTGCATCGCCAGCCTGTAGGCCACCGATGTAGGACGGTAGTTGTTTATGTCAGCTTTGTCCCCCTTTCCTTTATAGATTATGCTCATCCTGCTAAGTTTCCATCCATCGGGAACTTCTCCGTCGATTATTATTTTGTTCACTACCTAGCTCTCTCAAAGCCTGCTTAGACTTCGTACCTAATGTCTTTATCAGCATAATTGGAATGCCAGCTGGGCCTGTTGATGTACTACTAGGAACCCTTTTCTCAGCCCTTTCCCACTCTCGTTGTGAAAATGGAGCCATTGCGCCACTTTATTCATCCTTGTCTATTGTGGTGCATAAAGCACTTTTTGTTGAAATTTTTCTGTCAACCTTGTTCTTGTAGATTCAATAGCTTCGTGCCCTTTTAGCCTAGCACCTTGAGCTGTAGTTATAAATCTCTGCTCTAGGCTCGTCTGATTTCTTAGGGAGTTTAGATGGTTCCAAAATTTTGCAGCTGCCTTTCTATATTTTTTATGTACTGCCAGCCACTGAGCTCCCTTTCTTCTAATCTTTTCATTGATCAGAAGGGATGCATCTCTTCGACAGCTTAGAAAGATTTCCCATTTTCTTTCAACATCATCTGTCGGTTCACAACGCTGCTTAGCATGTCTGTGTTCCCTAGAGGCTTCCTGACGTTTTGCTATGGCTCTCTTGACTTCCTCATTCCACCAACTTTTGGGTTTGTGTCTTCTTTACCGGGGTGAATTGTCCCATGCTTAGCAAGCTCTAGCTCAAACAGTCTAATTAGATTTGTGTAGGTCCACACTGTTTTATTATCCTCAGTGATTACTTTCTCAATTTGTTTAGTGGCTATTTCAATTTGCCTTTCTGAATAAAAATTTTCCTGTAGTTGCTCATCTTGTCCCCTTCCCACTTTCACTGTTCTTCCGCAACTTAGCTTGATACGTTTGGGATCACTACCCAGACTTCTGGAGCCACCTTCATCTATGTGCATTCCCCTGAGCTTATCATACATCCTATGTGACATCAGTGCATAATCTATCGTCGACTGCAGCCTTCCTACCTCCCATGTTATGTGTCCTTCACACTTCTCGGTACTGTTGCAAATGATCAAATCAAGCCTTTCACACATATCCATGATAATTTTGCCTGTCGGGTCGGTATACCCATCTATATCTTCTATGTGCGCATTCATATCTCTTAGTATAATTATCTCGCACTCTCCTCCTAACTCCTGAATGTCATTTGATATACACACTACCATTGCCTGGTTTTCCTCTCTGGCCTTTGCTCCCGTCCACAAGTACACGAAACCAAAGAGTGTCATTTGCCCTGCCACTTTCTCTTGCAGCCATAAATGTCCCTTGCACTCCTGCTTGACCCTTTGCCAGTCTGTACTTTTATGAATGAATGCCCCAATACTACCTCCCTTTCTGGTACCTTCTGTTCTATTACAATATTCCCATGCGTAGTCTGCATTGTTAGGAGGTCGTTCCATGTCCCTGAGATGTGTTTCTGCAAAACCGTATACCATCGCCTTCTCCTCCCTTACCTGTTCTTCTATCTCTTCCCACTTCAGCCTGTTCCTACCACCCTGCATGTTAATATACCCTATGTCTGAAATTGCTCGGCACTCGTGGCTACGTCTATTTCTGCCCGCACTCTACCTATTTTAGATACTGGCGCCAATTTGGAATCGTATCTGTCCATACCACCTGTCAAATTGTCTCCCTGGTTGTTTTCCTCGTTACTAGCTATCCTGCACCCCGAAGGGACCGCTTACCCCCCAAAAAAGCTACTGCGCGTCCTGCAAGTCGCCAACCCACCTCACGACCTAGCCGCCCATCGAAGTGAATTCTGTCTCGTTGAAAACCACCCCACCTATGCACCTCTCTGTTTATTTCCACCACCTCAAAGCCTTTCTCTTGACTCTTCCGCCATATCTCTTGGTTTGCGTTGACAACCGTTCTTTGCAGGTTGACATCACGCACCGGTACCTCCGGTATCGTGCATATCACTACCTGTACCTGAGGAGAAGTGGTGCGCATGTCAACGACGCCTTTCGCCAGTGTGATTGCTAGTCCGCTAGTCCTGCTTCTGTGGTCCTGCTGTATGTTCATTTAAGTGTGATGGGTGGATGGATGGAGATATGTATGTGGCTGTACCCTTTAGATTGGGCGGTGGCTAACGCCACCTAGCCGTAATACTTTGTGAACTAATCACTTGATTTATCTTTTTTTTTCCTTTAAGGAGTAAAGTTGGATGGGTACTTTGCAGTGAAGGGCTTAATTTTACTTCGTGCCTTGACTTTAGCCACCAATCAGATAACCTCCTTCTAGATAAGTCTACCCGCTTATAAGTCTACTTTGCCCTGTCCCTAAACCCCAGTGGTTTGAAAAACTCTGCGCCATCATCCTGAACTACAGGGTGAAGCCGTTCACAGAACATTATCAAGTATTCGGCAGTTTCTTCTTCCTCTCCCCACGCACTGCATACTGTGTCTACCCCTTTGTATTTGGCCCGATATGCCTTGGATCGCAATACTCCCGTCCTGGCCTCAAACAGTAGAGAACTACCCGAGTATTATGATAGATCCTTTCCTATGCAATTTCCTGCTTAAAAGTTCGATAGAACTCTAGTGCGGACTTTTTAATCATGCCAATTCTCCACATGTCAGTCTCCGTTTCCTTCACTTTCTTCTTAACTGATAGTTCTTTTTGGTTTGGGCACCTGCTGTTTTCTAAGTATTTACCAGTCAATTTCCTGGTTCGCTTCCTCCATTTTGTATCGACATTCTTCACTTACAAGTAGCTGAAAACCTTCCTAGCCCAACGCTCCTCCCCCACTTCTCTCAATCGCTTCTCAAATTTTATCTTGCTGCTAGCTTCCCGGCCCTCAAATGATGTCCATCTCATATCACCTTATACTCCCTGATTTGGTGTATTCCCGTGAGCTCCTAAAGCAAGTATACCTATTTCACGTTGCTTAATTTATAATCTTGCTTGAACTTCTGATCTCATGCACAAGACCGCATTGCCGAACGTCAGCCCAGGAACCATGACCCCTTTCTATATTCCTCGTACATCACAGCTATTGTAATTCCACAGTGCCATGTTTTTCATTACCGCTGCATTCCTGTTACCTTCAGTCGTCACGTATGTTTCGATCGTGTTCCCTTAGGTACTCTGCCCCATTGCTTATCCATACGCCCAGATATTTGTATTTATCTGTTATCTCTAGCGTGACCTCCTGTGTTCTAATCTCACTACCTTCATTGTCATTAAAAATCTTGACGGCTGATTTTTCCTTACTGAATCTAAAATCTAACCTATCTCTCTCATTACCGCAGATGTCCATCAATCTCTGCAAATCTTCCTTGCTGTCGGCCATTAGCACTATATCATCTGCGTACATTAATGCTGGTAGTGCCTGATGAATGATTTTTCTTTGTTTGACTAAAGAGAGGTTGAAGCCAAGTCCACTTCCCTCTAATTTGGCCTCTAATCCTTGTAGGTACATTATGAATATCAAGGGTGACAGTGGACACCCCTGCCTAAGTCCCCGTTTCACCTCTGTGGGCTTGGATACCTGTTTTTCCCACTTTATAACTACCTTGTTACTTTTACAGATTTCCTTTAAAAGATTAGTTACTCCATCTTCCACACCTAGTGTGTCTAGTATTCTCTACAAGTCCTCTTGAACCACGCCATTGTACGCTCCCTTGATATCCAAAAAATGCTAGCGACAGGGGCCTGAGTTCTTTTTCTGCTATTGCGATGCATTGCGTCAATGAGAACAGATTGTCTTCCAACCTCCTGTGTTTTCGAAACCCATTCTGCAGTTACCCTAGCACCCCCTCATCCTCTATCCATTCCTGCAATCTTTCCTTTATGATCTGCATCACCAGCCTGTAGACCACTGATGTCACTGTTATGGGACGGTAGTTGTTTATGTCATCTTTGTCTCCCTTTTCTTTATAAATCATGCTCATCCTGCTAAGTTTCCATCCATCAGGGACTTCACCATCGATTATAGTTCTGCTCACTGTCTGTCTTAAAGTCTGTTTAGACTTCGGACCCAATGTCTTTATCAGCATAATTGGAATGCCATCTGGGCCTGTTGATGTACTACTTGGAACCCTCTTCTCAGCCCTTTCCCACTCTCGTTGTGAAAATGGAGCCATTGTGCCACTTGATCCATCTCTGTCTGTTGTGGTGCAAAAAGCACTTCTTTGTTGAAATTTTTGAATCTGGGGTAACTCGATCGCCCCCTAGGCAGTGAAGTTCGGAATCCAAGCCGGTGCAGGCAGCTCCGTAGACCGCCGCCAGCTGGGCAGGTCAGAAGTACAGTAGGTCATGGGCTGGAGTAGGCTAGGGACCGTAGCTTGGGCCGTTGACTTGTGACTTGGTAAACGTAAACAAGCGGCGCCGGGATCATATGGCCGAACATTGAACTTTACATTGCACCATACACTGGCAGATATGTTGCGCTAGAAGCAGAAGGCAGAAAGTCGCCGGTTGCACTCATTAATGGTCGAATAGACTAAGCACCGCGATTGCACATAACATGAGTAATATATACATACAAGAACCACCAACCAGTGGAAAGGTAAGTCGTGGCTGGATTTTTCTTTTGGTCTTGTCTTCTTGCGTACTTGCTAATGAGAAGCATATGCACTATTCCAAGCGATCTCATGAGATTTTACGTGCCGAAACTACGATGAGGCAAGACGATAGTTACAGCGCGAGAACAGAACGACGACAAAGAGACAAGAAGGACGTCGTTCTGTTCTCGCGTTGTCGTCGTTCTGTTCTCTATACCGACTAGCCCAAGCTGCCACACTTCTCTAAGTTGCGATGAGGCACTTTGCAGTGGGTGGCTCCGGAAGTTCAACCACTTGGGGACGTGCGCCTAATTACATACGACTCGAGCACTTCTCGTACCTCCATTGAAATGCAAGTGTTGGGCGAGTGCGGCAAGTGCACCTTACTATTCTTGTAAAGATGTCACAGTGTTAGCTCAAAGCCGCACAAGGTTGAGTCGCAGCAAAGCTGGCGGGCATGCACCTAACTGGGCTTGGCGAGACCGCCTCTCTTTCCCACCTGTTGCATCTCTATGTTGTAGTTTTCAACTTTTTTATTAGACGGTGTCTTTCTATCTCTTTTTTTCCATCATTTCTGTCTTTCTCTCTCTCTCTCTCTCTCTCTGGCCTTGTGCGTTTTTCTCTCTTTGTTCTCCTTTTATTTTCCTCCCTTCTGTACAATTACTACGCAAGGATATCCTATGACCTGCTAGCATGCCTGGATAGCTGAGCGATTGAGACACGTACTTACCTTCAGATTTCATCGATTCTTCATCATTCTCCTCCTCTCTTCGCACTCATTCTCTCGCCCATCAACAATATTGCATCCTGCACTGGAAAAACTGGTGCAGTTACTTGCTTCATTTCATTTCATTTCATTTATTTTACCCTCAATCGCACATAGCTTTACAGAGGGGAGTGGGGTACAGAAAAAAAAAAAACTATAACGTTTGAGCCTGATTGAGCATGAAACTGACGTTTAATATAAGGAATACAATTTAGAATCGAGACTAAGGACAAGAAATTATTCGATCATAAAGAAAAAATTGAATAATGTGTAATGAAGGTTGTGGACATGCTGGTTGACCAAGAGAGTAGACATGTACAAAGGAAAACAACAGCAACAACGACGAAGACTTATTATTTCCTAAATTATGCAGTTCAGAGTAACTACATATGTCGGTACTCATCTATTGGTAGTATTTGCAATTCTGTCATATTACTCCTTCTTTCATGTTTAACTGGGCGACATTTAATCAAATAATTAAGAACTTCTACTGAAAACTACACGTTTCTTGGCCAATCTCCCAGCGTGGGTGTGTGCCACTGTCCAAGGTTCTACTCAACTCTACCCTTGTGGTTGTAAAACCTGTGTCCAGTTGTTGCGACTCCTGTATTTAAAACACCCTCGTTTGAATTTTCGGAATTGTGGGGTATATCTGGTCTGGTAGTGGGCGCGTTCAAGTCGAGGTGGCTATGGACGCAGGCTGAAGCCCGAGGGCCGCAGTAATGAGACGCGTTCCCAACAAAAGTGACCAGAGCCTGCAAAGCTGTAGTGATGTATGTCACGCGCCCTCTACATACATTTTTTTGGGATAAACAATAGCAATGCATGCTATACCTCTACCAAGAATGAAGCGTTATGATGGGTCGACTCGCTGCACACTACAAGTTCAGCCGCACAGGTAGCGTAACGAAACGTCCAGACCGTGTGCACACCCCTGACGCTGGTGGTCTTGAAGGGGTAGCTGGGACAACCTGTGGCGATGCAGCTGTTGGCAGGGTACCGATGTTAGCTAATGGCGGAAGACTGTTACACTCGGACACAGGGCGAGTCGGAGTCTGCATCGGGCCTGGGGACCCTATAGGGACCCTCTAATATTATTAGACTATTAGCCGATGACTGCATGTTGTACCACCCTGTAAATAATGTCTCACATTCTTCCGTCTTACAGTCATATCTTGACACTACACAGGAATAGTCTGAGGATTGGTTGATGTCCTTAAATATTAACAAAACTTTCCTAATGACTTTTCATCGTTGTAATAACTACATCACTAACACTTACTTTCTAAACAACTACCCCATAGCTGCTACCAACACTACCATATACTTGGGTGTTCATATCTCATCTGATCTAACGTGGATATTACACATCATTAGAATCACTAACTCAGCTAATCGAGTTCTTGGATACCTTCGTCGCAAGCCTGCCTCGGCACCTGCTGCTACTAAACTAATAGCTTATAAAACACTTGTCATGCCTAAACTGGAGTATGCTAATGCCATTTGTGATCTTCATTAAGCTAACCTTTCTAATCCGTCCAGAACCATGCTTCCAGATTCATCATCTTGAATTACTCGACTAACATAATTGTGTCAGCAGTCAAATCTCAACTTAATTTCCCTCATCTTGCCTCTTGCCGTAAAGTTTCATGTTTGTGCCTGTATCGTAAGTTCCTTCATTCCTTGCCATCAGGCAATGCATTGATCAGGTGTGCACATCGGGCATTGCGCCATTCTCATCCCAATGCCGTATAGTATCTCGTATGCTCAAAAACAAAGACGTTCCAGAAATCATTTTTCCTTCAGATAGCGCAAGACTGGAACGACCTTCCCGCCGTCATTGCCATGTCATCTCAGTTTTCCCAATTTAAGACTGCCGTGGAAAGCCATATTTTATCTTAGTAATTATGATCTATTACTGTTTTTCTATTTTGTTGCTATTGTTAGTGCTGCTTTGCTTTCTTTTTGTTTCATCTATCATGTTTTTTTGCCCACCCCTCCTGTAATGTCCCTCAGGACACTTGAGGTACGAATAAATGAATAGACGACTGGTTCTACTGAAGTCGCCACCAAACGACAGCCGACTTTGCTGTCAATGCAAATGTTCACCATCGCCCAACGCCTCAAACAGCTAAGGTACCAGATGTCTCTGGTTGCGAACAAGTGCTCCTGCATCCGCCTGTACCACATAAGAGCGTCATGGACGCTGCAAAGCACTGTGCCCGCACACTCTGCGTCCCGAATCCACACTGTCTCCCCCTCCTCCAGAGGATGTAAGTCGTTCACAGCCTATCGACAGTCAAAATCTTGACAATGGCAGCAACGTTGGGTCGTGTCACGCATGTTGAAGTCGGAAGTGCAAGGAAACTTGAGAATAAGTGTTGCTGTTGGCACAGGAAGGCCAGTCTAGAGGGTGCGTCCAATCAGCAGCTGAAAAGGGCTGTAGCCAGTGATGCCAGGTGCGTTGCGGTACGACAGGAAAGCCAAGGGCCAGTCTGGAGACTTCTTGAAAAGGTCCTTGACAGGGGGGGGGATCTGCACCATGCACTCGACTTATCATTGACTTGAGGGTACCTGCGACTGCTGTTGATGTGTGAAAAGTTGTAACTATGATAGAAGGCGCGGAACTTTACTGACAAAAATTGTAGTCCATTGTCGCTGACGAGTGTCTCGGCAATCCCATGTCTTACAGACACTTTTGATCACGAGATCACCACCACGGACATTGTCGATTGGGGTACCTCAAATAGTAGTCAACGAGAAGGTAATCTGCTCCGTTGGGATAAAAAATGTCCAACCGCGACCTGCTCCTAAGGGCAGCTATACGCGGCGACAACTTTTCTTGGCATTGGAGCAGAGGCTACAGAGCCAAATCGCATTCATCGTACTGCCAGTGAATGTAGTTCCACAATCTTGTCTGTGATTTCTACATGAAACTATTTGGGACAGGACGCAGCTCAGACCATTAAGATATTCATATTTCCTGTAATTTTGAACACGCGAGAAAGTCCCACTTTTTTACGTGTACCTCTAACGCTAAGCGGCGTCTGCATCTATAAGAAATGCTGATGGTGCGCCCCCATCACCTTCAACAGCATTACGAGATGCACACCAAATCGGACTACTTCGCATAGTGCTACATGTGCAAAAGCTCCACCCTCGTAGCTTTCCCTTCAGTGCCAAGAAAAGTTGTCGCCGAGTATAGGCATCACTGTAGGAAACAGTGGCTCTGCTCGCTGGGCCTGCGTGGTGGTGCGGTTGGGAGTTTTCCACCATGGTCTTGATTTGATTTCCCATGGTTGGCCATCAAACAGCCCCCTTGGCGATGGTGCGGCAGCGGTTCGCTCCGAAATGCCCATCGCGAATCAGGGGCAGGATGTGCTTGCGCAAAGAAGAGGGCACGAGTGTGCTTGATAGTGATCGTTGATAGTGATTTCAGCACAACGAGCCCAAAATTGGCTCTTATTGAGAGGCAGATTCTCCTTCCGAGAGGCCATCCTTGCATGCAGTAAGTCTTAAGCTGAGCGCACTTCCAATCTGTAGCCTGGGGAGCTCAAAAGTCATAGAGTAAGACCGTGAAAATGGGAGGGATAGCACCGGTGAAAAGGGCTGGAGGGACTTCTTGAGGTAGTATTTCCAGCCGAGTTGACGTGACAGTGCTGACGAACTTGACGACACCAAGGACAACGATTGCGGGATATTCGAGAAGAGGTTGCTCTTGTCCTTGGACAATGTATAGCCATTCATTAATTTGCCTGCCCCGCCAAGGCACAGCTGTGTAGAAGGCACCAAGAAGTTTCAGAGATTGTTTGTTGGGCCCAAAAAGTTCTTCGCCATGCGGCTTGTCGAGCACGGCTGAGCTGGTGGCCGCTTTCAACAGTATGAGCTGGTGGCCGCTTTCAACAAGCTCACAAACCTAAACCTCTACTTTACCATCATTGCCAAACTCTGGTAGAAGAATCACCAAAGCAATTGTACCACCTGATCGAATTTCACGACAACGTTCACGAAGGTCTTTGGACTGCCATGCAAGCGCTGTTCAGCTCGAAGCCGGCGTACAGCAGGGTGTTCAAAGATCTCCATGGTTCATGCAGCAGTGAAGATAAGAATAGTACAATAATATAATAACAATAAGCTAGTGAGAGAAATACCAAAGTGCTAATATTTTATTTAGAATAAGTTAACATGGAATTCTTGCATCACCAAGAAATTCGCGTATGGATAAGCAGATGCTTCTTTTGCTGTGGCCCGGGCAAGGTGCCCAATTGGAAAGAACATTTTGAGAAGTCATACTAACTTTTTAAAACATTTCAACGAAATTTGTTCTGGGAGTGAAGCAGAAATGAAGACTACGACAAAGAGATCACATGCCAGTTCATAAAGGTGCTCAAGTCTGCTCGCTCTGCATGCACTGAAAGTTCGCTTCAAACAGCTCTGTTGATAAAACACACTACTACGGAAAAACGTGCCTCTTTGATGTAGTAAGTGAATCAGATTGTCGGTTAAGCTTTGGAAGGCATGACAAGAAATTGAAAGAAATAAAAGCAGACAAGAAACACCCTTTATATTACTGGGATCCAAACCCACAACTTTTGAATTATGGGACCAATGCCCTGCCAGTTGGGGCTACAATGGAAGGCACTTTGTCATCTACTTTGTTAGATATTTCTGAGCGTGTAATCCCTGGGAGTGTCAGCCCTTCCGTTGTGACTCAATTGGTAAAGCATGGGTAATATAAAGGTGGTAGATACACTGCTGTTATGAATTCCAAGCTGTATTTTTAAATGCATAGTAAGGATTGAAAGAAGACTCAACCCAAGAGTGGGTACATGCAGGTGTTGCTGGTAACGTCTGTTGGCGACATCGAAGTGGAGCTGTGGTCCAAGGAGGCACCACGTGCCTGTCGCAACTTTGTGCAGCTCTGCTTGGAAGGCTACTACGATGGCACTATTTTCCACCGTGTGGTCAAGGGCTTCATCGCTCAGGGAGGGGACCCGACGGGCACCGGCGACGGTGGGGAGTCCATTTACGGCGCACCTTTCAAGGTCAGTTTTGCACTGCAGTGTGTAGAAATTAGAAATCAGCTGGCCACAGTTTGCACACCTGATTCATTGGTACAAGCTGGCTGCTTCTCGTACAGAACCGGGCTGAATGAGCACAAAGTCACATTTTGTATTCTCAATGTAGACCATTTGATGCAATTATGCTCATGGGCCTCCATTGCATATGGAGAGCGAGAATGGTAGGTTGCCATTTTGATAAGGATGCACGGCCGGCATGGGCCTGTTTCAGATAAAGCATTCACTGGTTTCTTGAGAATTATAAAGTGGCACCGTAGCCACCAGTATGGCTTCTACGACTGAAGCCTCTGGTGAGCTTGCGTAATTTTTGCCTCAACGAAACTAGCACCATCCCGGTTGACTGATAAGTTATCATGTAAATATTGTACATTTCATACTTTCTTACCAGTATCGCTTGTATTATGTGTTTGGTACCAAAGTAAGGTGATAAAGAAAAAAAAAACTTGAAGCAGTGGCTCCCAAATGCCTGGAAACACCTGCAAAGCAAAAAAGGGAGAGAGAGGCTTGATGCTGGCAAATGAAGCCATCTTTCTTCTACTTGGAGGGAGAGTGTCATGACACTAAAGCAGCCTTCTAAGTCACCACGTGCATTTTTAAGAGGTTTAAAGTCTCGCGAAAGAAATTTCTAATCCTTGTGAATTTCATGCAAACTTGACCTTGAGTGAAAGTTGGTATGTGGTACAAAAACTTGCACGACAAACTGCATGCCCCGTGGCTTTAGGCGTGTGAGTTGTGTGCTCACTTCTTGGTCGTTCCTGGGTTTTCCTGGACTAGGAGGAGGGCTACCTGCCCATTGTCACAGCTTTGACACCAGTCACTGCCAACAGGATTATGGAGAGGGCTCACCCAGTTTGCATGCACCAAGTAAAATCGAAAGGTTTTCCACAGCCACTGACGCGTTATTGCCAGAGCGATTGTGATAAGGTTGTGGATGGTGTTATGACCGTCGTCCGTAGGCGCCATGCTGTCGTTGAGAAACGTAGCCCGGCAGCGCTCCCACGCCCGGAACTCCAGTTTCTCGGATTCAGCGGCAGGGAGCTACAAAGGGATTAGAAGATGGTCCAAGAGCCATGTCCCTACAAGCAATTCCTCGGGCCAGCTTGTTTAGCAAGACGGCAAAGCAGACTGACCGCACAGGTCGTGTCTCCGCGATTCAAGTGTCTACTCCTTGGCTGCCCTTCCAAGGAAAGACGAAAGCAACCTAACCGCCAAATTGTTCCGGGAAGGAACCCCATTTCCCCTATCCTCAGAGCCTTGCGTCAAGAGGGGCAATAACTATTCGGCGGACCATGTGCTACTGAATTATGCCCTGTGGGCGGTGTCTTGTGTGTGTGTGATTGACGTTCCAATGAAGGAGGAGGAGCCCGACAGGGTTTAAAACGACGCCGCAGAGTGCTGGACGTCGCTCTGAACCATGTAACGGTTCAAGCACCACGCTCGTGGTTTGTGTGACCCCTAACCTTTCTATGCTGCAAATAAGTGTAAATAGTGCCATAAACCTGTTTGTTTTTCGTATCCTCATCTTGTCAGCGTTCGTTTCCTTAACCCAAAGTTACACCATGCTACCACAAAAGACTGGGTAGACCCCGGTCCGCAACAAGGGTGCTCAGCGCTGGGATTCGGAGCGACTACTGGTGAACAGCGCCGAGAGCCGCAACAACTGGTTGGCAGCAGTGGGATATGACTCAGCACCGGGATCCACAACAATGGCAACCGCACCTTTCTGTAGACGTTTTGATTGTTCGCAAACACCTTTTTCATTTCTTTGCATCATACATTTTCAGCGCTTTGTGCTCGGTGTGCTCAAAGAATTGAACAAAATATGATTGACTTGACTAGAGTATGACGTCATTAAAGTATGTGTACAGAACCATGCACTTCTACCCTGAACACCGCGCCATGTGGCCGGTGCTCTGCGGAGCGACTCTGCCGGGTGCTTCAGAAACTGGCGCGCAAGCGCAATGACAGCTGTTGGCGAAGCCTTCACCACATCGTCTGCTAGAGCGCGGCCGCTCGACCGAACTGCGCTCGCTTTGCGGTGAAGCAAGCATCACTCATGTTAAATGGGCCCTGCGACACTATTTGAGCATGTATTCTTTATTGGTTTTTCCGGTGCTGTGGAACACGCCGATATCGTTGCACACATAGCAACGCCGAAATTTACGCTGTTATAATTGTAGTTCACGGGACAAACTACCTTGATTTCAGACAACAGCGACACACATCGGCTATTTTTGTTATGGGAAGTCAAGTCGTGTCATGTGACGTGATGACAAACACCGTTCGCTTTTGATTGGCTTGATGCGGGAAACAGCGTGCAATATACATATGGTGGTAGCTAGGCCATACGAATGAATGCTAAAAACAGTAAGAACCTTATTTATACTTTCTCAGAAAGAAATCATTCCTGTTTCAAAATTATGTAGTTTCGGAACAACGAACTCAGCACTTAGCCTGCAAATGAGGCTATCATATGCCAGCAACTAAAAGTGGAAACGCATGCCGCGTTTTATCGAGCCAGTAATACGATAGGCAGTGGGCGCTGGTGTTGCCATAAAATGCGTTTTGCATGCAAGCGGAGAAGTGACCCCGCCCAAAGCTTATGTATGTATCTTACACAGTGTGACTGTGGGTGCGTCTGCTACCCGACGCACGTGGTTTGTAGTAACCACACTAACGCCGCCGCCGAAAAGACTACCCGACGCACGTAATTCGTAGTAACTACACTAACGCCGCCGAAAGGACCGGTAGCGGGGTATTGTGTAAAGGCCACCATGAGGTGACATTTCCGAAGTGTCTTTACGAGACACGCGCTGTGGTTGGAAGCGATTTTTATCGTCAGCAGGCGAGTGAAATGCAAAAGAGAACGTTTCTCATCATCGTCTGCTCAAGTTTTGAACTTTGAGGACTCTAACTTCACTTTCCGTGCACCAATTTCTATTATTCTTGTTGCATTCGTCTCAGTAATCATCGATACACGCATTCCGCTGCTAAATAAGGCTATCTCAAAAGTGTCGCACGTCCCCTTTAAGTGCGCACGCAAATTGAGTAATAGGTGCGGTTCTTGAGAAACGCAAAGACTATGGCTTTTTGCAAGCAATTGTACAAGTAATAAATATTGGAACCATACATGAGAACAACTTTGACGCCGCGGTGTCACTGCCACAACTAAGCTATTCAGTGCAACAGAAACAATATGCCGCAGCTCACACGACTGCTTTTGATAAGCACAAACTTGAGTGCTACGAAATTGGTGATGAATATATCATGTAAGGCCTGACATAACATCTTGCAATGTTTGAAAGTTTTGATTGCTTACTAACCTGTGAACAAAAGAATCTGACTAGTTCATTAACCTTAGAGAACTGATATAACATATGGCTGTTGCCAATAGCGCTGCTTTCACGTGCTGCCGAGTTTAACTCACTAATATTCCACCTTTATTCCCTGTTTACCAGCTGCCGTGTTTCTTCGTGCCATTCATGCAGACAATATAAAAACGTTCCAATTTAGCTAAACTTGTATGGGGCTATCAGTGCACCAAACAAGCGCCGATGACAAATTTCGACTGCTGTTAGCAGGTGCAGAATAAAGCTGCATACTTTTTTGTCTCTGGGTGACATAAGGCCCGCTTATCGCTTCATATCTTTCTTGGCTCGAAACGTTAGCCAACCACAGTAATTTCTTGTGGCCTTTCGATTCGTAGCGCTGTCAAACTTTCTTTTTATCGCTGCGTGATAAAAGGGCCACGTATGTTTGGTAGTAATTCATTCCAGGATTGCCTCCCGATTAAAGGACCATGCCTGAAGACGAAAGACAACGTAAGGTAGATATATCTCTGCATTAATATTCTCAATGTGCTATATCTGCAATGAAAAACCGTTCTCTTGCAACTGTCAACTGGATTGTTCAAGTGTACAGGAATGAAGGACGCATTGGATATGCCCCTTAGCAACCTCGTCGCCGGGTGACTGCCAAGGACGAAGACCTGCGAATTGTGGCAGCCGTGGTGGAACAGCCGAAAACTACAGCCCGAGAAATGTAGACTGAGCTCGGACTCAACCACCTTTTGGCTACAACCGTGAAGCGCCGCCTCTTCGAAGCAAGACCGAACAGAAGCGCTCATGCGAGCTGAGAACAAGGCGAAGCGGCTCCAGTATAAGATCAGGCTCGCTGGTCTGCATCCGGCTGGAAACGCGTGGTATTCACAGACCAGTCTACGTTCAGGGCTCGGTGGTATCAGAGAACACGAGTTTGGCATCCTATGAACACGCGATATGTAAAGCAATGCTCTTAAGCTTTCAAGGAGCAGTCGTTTCAGCCGCTGCTTTTATCAATGCTAGTTACCTGTGATGTGACTGTGCAGTTCGTGGTAACACTTCATTGATTCCAAGTTAGCAGCTAAATATTGTCAAAAATCTTCTTTTGGTTATTTAGTGCAAGGTGCGAGTGATATCTAATAGAAAGGTAATTCATTGGAATTCATTAGACACTGAGAACAGCACCTCTAACCTTTCGTTGTTATCTAGAACACTAAACAATGTTATCTAAAACACTTAACTAATTGCCCTTTATTAGTATGCTTGATGAAAAGTATATGTATAAAACCAAGGTTATATTGAAAATTCTTTGTAACTCTATTTAAACTCATGAGGTAACCCATGAAGGTAACTTTCAATTTAAAGTTGATGCACGTGTGACTTGCAGATTTCGGGAAGCGCGCCCGAAAACCTCCCTAGACGACCTGCAGGCCAACTGGTCGGCGGCTATGGCATCTCAGGCCCAGTCTGCTAAAGCTTGCTGTCTATTTTTATGGGAACCTTATTTTGCCCTCAGAGTTTCTTTCATCATACCCATCACTCAATAAAAATATGAGTGGCTACCACGAGTGTTTGGCCCCAGCGCCTAATGTCAACAAGGACACCACAAAAAGATCGCCTATCATTGGCTCGGTCAGGACCTTG